TCTGCGAGTCAACAGAATCATTGGCATCATTCTCTTTAAGTCCATCAAAATAACAAAATTGAGAATACACTGCCAGCAATGAATGACGTTCACCATAGAAGTTGGCAATTAATGTATTTGCTTGAAGCAGAATCAATTTACAACGTTTATCATGAGGCCAAGGCTGGAGGAAGCTCAACTGCCCCTGGTCTTGAGGTCCATCCTTTACGATTCCTGTATGCTTCGATGGCCTGCAAGCGAAGCCTCTCCTTTGAAGCATCTTGTGCAGTCTTCATCTTGAATGCCTTTAAAAGTAGGAATTCCATGTTAGGACTTAGAACTGAAAAGTAAGATCATATATGTAGATATAAATATCAAAAAACTATGATTATCTTAGGAACTGCAACCAACTTTGGTGGAGCTTCAACCACTTCTCCAAATTTCACCTGCTCTCTTCCAGGGAAATCCATGTTCTCCTCTGTTTTAGCTTTCTTATGCTTTTTCTTCTTTGCTTCAAGATACCTTCATAAATCAAACACATATCTGTTATATCTGAAAAAGGAGAAACCATAAACCAGCATATTCTAGCTAAAGAAACATTGCAAATTTTCCCAAAAAATTTAACCAGATTGCTGATCTCTAAGGCAGTTGCAATGGAGCATGATTAATTGCAACTAATGTCTCGGGGGTAATTCAATACCTATATTGTTCTTGAAATTCATTCATTGGTTTTCCACAATAGTGAATTCTAATGGCTTCTCATTGTAAACAAAAGTAATTTTGCCACAATGCATCGAAAGAATATTTGTTTGTTCTAAATTAGGATTCATATTTTCATCTTCTACCAATTTATAAATTTCAAAGGAAATGAATAAACTGTTAGTTTGTAAACAAAGAGATGAAGATCTGGTAAGTGCAGAACTGAAACTTTCCATTGAACAAATCTGTTTTTTACAAGGAAATAAAGAAACTACTAAAAACTGAAAGTTAACTGCACTACAATGGAAAAACAAACTGAATTAAAAACCAACTAATAACTGCTACAAACTGAAAAAATAGTGTGACAGCATTTGTGTCACTGTCTTTACATTGTTGTTTTTCACTCCTCCTTGACACTAATGCTGCTCATCCCAAGCTTGTCTCTTAGTGTCTCAAATCTGAACTTGTGCAATCCTTTAGTGAATATATCAGCAATCTGGTCATCTGAATCACAATGCAAAACCTAAACTTCACCTTCATAAACCATCTCCCTAATAGAATGATATTTGATCTTGATATGCTTGGTTCAACCATGAAGAATAGGATTCTTAACAATTGCAACAGCAGATAAATTATCACAAAACAACTCAGTAGGATGTATCTGAGGTTGTTTTAAATCATTCATCAGTTTCCTAAACCACACAGCTTGATCTGCAGCAAGAGAAGTAACAATGTACTCAGCTTCTGCTGTTGACTTGGCAACTAAGTCTTGCTTCTTAGAACTCCAACTAATCACCCCTGAACCAATAGAAAAACACTGTCCTGAGGTACTCTTCATGTCTTCCTCTAAACCAGCCCAATCACTATTTGTAAATCCAATTAGCTTCACATTTGTTGACCTTTTATAAAGAACACCAAAATCAGTTGTTCCCTTCACATACCTTAGGATCCTCTTGGCTGCCTTGAAGTGTATTTCACTGGGAGAATGCATAAACCTAGACAAAAGGCTCA